AAAAAAAAAAAAAAGCCCACCTCTAGCCCCCCACCCCGCTACCGTTCAGACTCTCTGTCCTTCCCCAGCAACCTTGTAGGAAGAGGGTTCAGCCTGGCCGGCCCACTTCCCCTCCTTCCCACCTCCCCTGAGCAACTCTGGCCACATCATCGCCCCTGCTCTCCCTAAAAACTGCTCCCATCAAGGTGGCCTGTGTGGTCCCAGTGTGGCTGTAGCCAACATCACATCCATCAGCCGTGTGACCCCCACGCCATGGGCTCTTCCTGGCTGTGGTGGAGCAAGGGTGGTGGGACTTCATGGGCAGTGGGAAGAGCCTTAAACTCTGTGCCAAGACAGACCTCAAGGGCATGGGAGGTCCTGGGGACAGAGCTCCCCAGCTCTGGCCTTTCCCTGCACCCCTCCACACCCACCACACCCCACTGTGTCTCCCGGCAGTGCACTGCTCCCCCGGCCACCACTACAACACCACCACCCACCGCTGCGTCCGCTGCCCGGTTGGCACCTACCAGCCAGAGTTTGGCCAGAACCACTGCATCACCTGTCCAGGCAACACCAGCACGGACTTCGATGGCTCCACCAACGTCACACACTGCAAAAGTGGGTGCTGCTGCTCCGCAGCAGGAAGCTGGGAACGCGGGAGGGGCTGGGCAGGTTGGGGGGCGGGAGGAGACCTGATCCCACACAAGGTCCATGAGGACACTTGACTCCTCCTGCCCCGTCACGTCTGCTCTGGGGCACCCTGCATGGGTCTGGAGGCCTGTGGCACCAAAGGGACAGCCCTGGCTTGGCCCTGTCTGTGTAGCCACACAGTGGTGCCCCTCATTCATCAGTTCCCACTCCACCCAACACAGCCCAAGCCTCTGCCCCGGGCCAGGCCCCGCTCCAGTTTCTGGGTCTGCTGGGGAAACTGACAGCCTAGAGGGGCACTGACGGGGCCACCAGAGAGGGCAGGGCTCTGGGCTCTCTCAGTGCCCCTGACAAGGCCCAGCCACAGAGAAATCAGGTGGCCCTGCAGCAAGGCAGCCCAGTAAGAAGGAGACCCCGGGCTGGGCCTCGGGGAACCACAAGCGTGAACAGTGGCCTGCCCGCCTACTCTGGGGTAATCCCAGACAGGGTCCCCAAGGAGGATGGCTGAGGGCCTGAGGGCTGGTGGAGCAGGGAACAAGAGCACCTGCCAGCCCGCCCTGGGCCTCCCTGGCTGTTAGAGAACTGGCTGGCCAGGGCACCTGCCCAGCAGAGCCTGATGAGGCCCGCGGGCCGCTGTGCCCACAGACCAGCACTGTGGTGGCGAGCTTGGTGACTACACAGGCTACATTGAGTCCCCCAACTACCCTGGAGACTACCCGGCCAACGCGGAATGCGTCTGGCACATCGCGCCGCCCCCGAAGCGCAGGATCCTCATCGTGGTCCCCGAGATCTTCCTGCCCATCGAGGATGAGTGTGGCGACGTTCTGGTCATGAGGAAGAACGGTATGTGGGCGGGGGGCCCAGAGGCAGCCACAGCCACTCCTGCAGCCCCGTCTCGGTGCAGCTCCACCAGGCGGGATCGCTGCCTTCGTGGGCAGAGAGGAGGGCCCCAGGGCTCAGAGGGGACCAGCCCCTCAGAGTCCACCTGGGAGGCAGGGTTGAAACCCATTGGGTTTAAGAGCTGGCTTTACAGAGTTCTGTGGAAAGATCCGGAGAGTTTAGGGTATCCCCTGAGAGTAGATGCGGGGACGTGGTCAGGCCTGGTCTCAACTCTGGCCGCAAGCCAGGGCCTCATCCCAGTGGCAGGACCAACCACAGGGCCCCTTCCCGCCATTTTCTGTCACACCTCTCAAGGCAAGACCTCAGGCTCCAGCTCCACAGGCCTCCTCCCGCCCGCTGAGGTTTGGGAGACCACAGGGCCATCCTATGCACCACACAAGGTACCAACTCAGAGCGCCCATCCCCACCCCTCTGTGAGCCCCAGACTCCTGGCTCACCAGCCCCCGTCAGGGCCTCTTTTGAGACATCAGGGAACAAAGCTGGAATAGTAGGAGAGAGGACTGGACTCAGCAGTGGGTGGGGCCGAGTGTGTGCCCAGTTGGCCACAGCAGCAGGAATTGCCTGGGAGGCCCCTGAGTGCCCCCCAACGCCAGGCAAATCCCCGAAGCGTACCTGGCCAGGGGACCTCACTGCTATCAGGCTGTGGGTGCCCATGGGAGCAAGCTCTGTGCTGGAGTGTTAGGGGAGGAAGAGCAGGAACCCAGATGCCCACAAACACGGCCTAGAACGTCTCTGGGTATGAGGCAGCCACAGAGACCAGCCCGGGGGGTGGGGTGGGAGGGGCCTGAGGTCTGCTCGGGGCTGCCCGGCTGGAGCTGCGGTATCCTGTGCAGGAGTTGCTCAGCATACTGACGAGCAGATGTCAGCATGGCTGATGCAGCTGACCAGCCGAAACCTGCAGTGTGCAGATGGCCAAGGGACCGGCCCGGGATCACCTTCCCTGCCCGTTCCCCTTACCCCCTCCCCTGCCTCCAGCATCCCCCTCCCTCTGTCCCTCACCACAAGGCTGAGCTCAAGCGAAGCCCAGCCTCTCCCCCATGAGGGGCTCCTTGGGAATGTCCCCAAGGAGCTGTGAGTCCTTCCCGAAGAGCCCCTGAGCCGGGAGAGGCTGGGCAGGGCTGGGGGCTCCCGCTGTCACCATGTCTGAGAAAAGGATGGTTTGCAGTTTGGGAAGAGTCACTTGCCAGTCATGTGCTGTGCCCACACTGCTGCCCTTGGCTCCTGATTTCCTCCTCAGGAGATCAGGGCTTGGGGGGCTGCGTTGATGCATTTGCTCTCAGGGAGAAGGGACTTCCCGAGTCTGTGCCGGTTCATCTCCCACGCCCTCCCCCAGCTTCCCCTCCATGCGCCGTGTGCTGAGTGCAGGCCTGAGCCCTGTCAGAGAGGAGCAGTTAGCTAGAGGGAGACGGAGACCCCCGATAAAGGGGCCTGTGATAAGGGGTTCCCCAGAGCAGAGCAAGATCTTGGGAGGGGAGGAAGGGAGCAGTCAGGGAGGCATCCTGTAAGAGGGGGCAGAGAGATGGGTCTCAGAAGGACAAGTAGGAACCAGGGTTGAGGGCAGGGAAGGGCCTCAGAGGCAGAGGGAACAAGCATGAAGACTAAGCTGTTGTTTGGGGGACCAGGCGTTCGGTGCAGGTGCTGGGTGGCAGACTGGGTGGGAGGTGCTGTACACCCGCGGCACCTCAGCAGTGGTGCTTCGCCCACAGCCTCGCCCACGTCCGTCACCACCTACGAGACCTGCCAGACCTACGAGAGGCCCATCGCCTTCACCTCCCGCTCCCGGAAGCTCTGGATCCAGTTCAAATCCAACGAAGGCAACAGTGGCAAAGGCTTCCAAGTGCCCTACGTGACCTACGATGGTAAGGCCCCAGCTGTCTTCGAGGCCCACTGTGCATAGCTCAGAAGGGGCCAGGGAGACACAGAGGTGAGTCACACGTCCCCACCCTCGGGAGCTGTGACCCGGCAGGCACAGACCCAGAAGCAGAACGAACACTCTCAGGGGCCAGAGCCAGACAGGCCAAGGGTGGTACTGGGTGGTACCAGCAAGGCAGCGGCTAGTGGCATCTGCAGGCTTCGGGTGAGGTGCCGCCCAAGCAGGGTTTTGAAGGCTAAATTTGGGGTTCTTGGCTGGGCACAGTGGCTCACGCCTGTAATTCCAGCATTTGTGAGGCCAAGGTAGGTGGATCACCTGAGGTCGGCAGTTGAAGACCAGCCTGGCCAACACTGTGAAACCCCATCTCTACTAAAAATACAAAAATTAGCCAGGCATGGTGGTGGGCGCCTGTAATCCCAGCTACTCAGGAGGCTGAGGCAGGAGAATCTCTTGAGCCCGAGACGCAAAAGTAGCAGTGAGCCGAGATCATGCCACTGCACTCCAGCCTGGACAACAGAGTGAGACTCTGACTCAAAAAAGAAAAAAAAAATTGGGGGATTCTTAGCAAAACTCCAAGGAGGACAATACAGTTAGACGGAGCCCCCGCCGAAAGGCACAGAGGCAGAGCAGCGTCCCGCCATAGCTGGGAGCCTGTGGCTGGAGCAGGGGAGGAGGGCAGAGGCTGGAGGTGAAAGGGGAGCTGGCGGGGTCTCAAGCCCCTCGTCTTCCTCTCCCCCGGCTGACCTGCTGCCCAGAGGACTACCAGCAACTCATAGAGGACATCGTGCGCGATGGGCGCCTATATGCCTCGGAGAACCACCAGGAGATTTTGAAAGTAAGTGAGTTTATTGGAAGGGAATTGTTGTAACCTTGGGATGGGGCCTGTGATGAGCCAGGGCCGCCCCTCCCTCAGCCCTGGCCCCTGGCCCCTGGCCCCTGGCCCCTGGCCCCTGGAGAAGCAAGGGAGGATGGATGGTGATGGGGGAGGAGCAGGAGGCCTGGGGGTCCCAGAGCCCTAAGGGCAGGGGCTGGGTCCTGCATGTCTGTCCCTCCAGACCAGGAGGCCTGAGAGAAGCTGTTTGGTGGGGATGTGGGGACCAGGACCCAGTGATGTGACCTCAGGCAGGCTCCTCGCCAGCTCTCAGCCTCACTCTCCTCATCTGTAGAGGGAGGGTGTCTGGGGGTGCTGTCTCAGAACCAGTGGGATCTACCCAGTGCCGCTGTCACTTGGAGCCCCCCCTGCTTCTGGGACCGGGCTCCCTCCTCTTCCTGCTTCTGGCCTGGAGAGGCAGGGCCACCTGGTATGTCACATGATGGGCACTGGCCAGAGGCCCAGAGACCCACCCAGCTCAGCCCTGGGCAGCAGCACTGTCAGTCCAGGAGCCCTGGGTGTGGAGGACAAGGACAGAGCTGGGGATGGTTTGCAGGCTCTGGAAGGTTCACTGGAGCCCCCCATAGTCTGCCGGTCACGCGCTGCCGCACTCGGCTCCCTGTTTCCTCCCCAGACCGTGCAGGCAGAAACCAGGGACGCACCGGGACTTGCCCTCCTCCCCATCCCTGTTCCCCCAGCTCCACCCTGGGAGCAGTGCTGCCAAACGGAGCAGCAGCGTCTGAGGCTGCTCTGGGGACACAAACCTCCTCCACAGCAGTTCTCAGCTCCTCGCGCTCACCGGGGCCTCTCGGGATGTGCTTCCCCAAATCTTTCCCCAGCGAACGTCCCCCCTCATCCTCCTGCCTTCACCTGGGACATCCTGTCATCCTCTGTGGGGTCTGCCCGGATCTCCCTGACCTGGGCACATCCTTTGCAGACCCTTGGGTCCCGGTGCCCCTCCTTCCTGGCACCCACGAGTACCCACTTTAGGTTTGTCGTGTGAATATTTAGTCTCTGCCCCGCTTGGCAGGGAGGAGCTGCCGGGGTTCATGGTCAACTCTGCCTCCAGGACTGGCACCGTGCCGAGCACAGAGGAGGGCAGGAGTGCCTGTCTCCAGGGCATGGGCTCAGGGCACACGTGTGTGGTGAGTGTGGGGAGTGTGTTGACTGTGGTGTATTTGTGGGTGTGTGGTAAGTTTGGAGGTGTTAAGTGTGTCTGTGCTGTGTGGTGTGTTTGTAGGGCTGTGTAGTGTGTATATAGGGATATGCATGTAGGGGTGTGGGGGGTGTTTAGTGTGTTTTGAGTGGGTGTGGGGTGTGTGGGGTGTGGTGTGTGGGGGTATGTGGTGTGTGTGGGGGTGAATGTGCAGTGAGTGGGGTGTGCTAAGGGGGTGTGGTGTGTGTAGGTGTGTGTGGTGAGTGGAAGTGTGGTGGGTGTGTGTGTAGGGGTGAGTGTGTGGTGAGTGGGTGCATGGTGTATGTATGGGGGTGTGGTGGGGGTGTGTAGGGGTGAGTGTGTGGTGAGTGGGTGCA